AGTGGGTGATTGGGACGAGTTGAGGGTACGAGACTTATATGAGAGTATTATGGATATGTATCGTAGAAAGGTATAGGTAGCAATGGTACAGTAAACGGTAAAGTACGTCGTACAATGTATATTGAGTTAAACATAAAAGTGTTTCGGTTGAAGGCAACGTTACGAAACATGAGCTTAAACAACGGAGCCTGCGATACCAGCTAATAAGCGGTCAAAAAAAGTCGAGAAAAAAACCGAGAAAAAAAACCGAGAAAAAAGTCGTGAAAAAAGTCGAGAAAAAAGTCGTGAAAAAAGTCGAGAAAAAAACCGAGAAAAAACCGAGAAAAAATGGCACTAATCGGGCTCCGTAGTAATAAGCCCTTCGTGTTTCTCTTTACAATGTCTACTTAGTGCTGATGATTCGCCTTTCGAATCCAGTGCCATCAAATGTTCAGCAAAAGTCGAACTTTCCATGCACCGAACTTAATAACATCAAAGAATGCCGCCTCATTATCACCTGATATCCATTGTTTTTAATGAGTTCGGTGCATGGAAAGCTCGACGTTTGCCCTAGGCCTTAGTTGTTATAGTTGAGAAGAATAGTCAACTTCACAGTTCCCTATGCCAACTTGAATGGTAGCCGTGCCTTTGCATCGAAGCGATACGAACGGTGAGCTTGCAATGATTGAGAAATGTGAATAATATTGTGTCATACCATGCTTCATTTGCTTCGTTTGCATTTAGAGTGGGATGTGAGCCGTTCAACATGCTCGCTTCGATTAGTATAGGAAACGAAGAGGAAACAATACTATTTACCTGACATTATAGTGAGACTCGACTAACCGTGGCAGTCCAACCTATTTTTAACCAACTTATTTTTTGCCAAAGCCAGCAAAATAGATATCACATAGTTATCGTAGAATATTTACCATGGATGTTAAATCTTTATATACCGTCATTCCTAATGATGAAGGTCTCAATGCTCTCAAACATTTTTTTGATCTTCGCACCGTTTTAGAACCTAGCACTCCTACTTTATTGCGTTTAGCTGAACTTGTTCTCACCCTTAATTGTTTTTCCTTTGGCGACCGCTTTTTTCGACAGATTAACGGTGTAGCTATGGGCACCAAAATGGTATATCACATAGGCATATTCTCGCCATTTATTCAAGATTGTGTTGCAAAGAGTACTAAATAATTTTTGTGGTCACTGCGAGTGAATTCACATGCAAATGCACATATTCTCGCTGTAGGATTGGCTAACTAGTAAAAAAATAAGTCAAGTGGTCACAAAAGTAAACAATGGAATTAGGGTCTACCAATGTGTATTAATCTAATATCTATTTCATAGTATTGATGATTAATTTTTCTACTGAATTACAGTGGGGATTGATTTGACTCCCACGAAGGACTAACGTCCAAAACGTCAGTCTACTATCTTTCGTATTTACGGTGATAAAATTATCCACTACGACACATTTGTTTCAACTAAAAAACACCGACGCAGTCCAAGCTAGTTCCAGAACTAGTCGTTATCTGTGGGGGTTTAGAAAGAATATAAAATGACTTCACTCTATAAGCAAATGGTCTAGTTCTTTCGCTAGTGTTGCTAGATAGTTTTACACCTTTTGCTGTTCATTAACCGCAAAGGAATATTCATTGAAGCGAAGAAGCATTGTCATTAGAGCGAACAGGCATACAATAAGGCGAACGGAGTCTCAATAATGCGATGGAACTTTCATTAAGAAATTTAGCATTGAATTTGACAATCATGAATATGT